AGTATTGTTGCTCGGTACATAATGCTTCTTAATTATATATATTTTGGTCGACAGTTTATATTTCTTTTGTTTATTCCTATTCTTAAAATAACTGCTTTTTTAGAAACAAACCACCTAAAATATACGTGATTGATGAATTGGCGGAACAACATGGGCACAAAGTTCTTCGTCTGCCTCCTTACCATTGTATATTTAACCCTATTGAGTTAATTTGGGGCATAGCAAAAGGTTACTATAACAGACATATTGGTAGAGATGGTAACAGTGAAAAAGACTGTTTGGATATGTGGAACGAGGCTCTACAAACGGTTACCCCAGACATGTGGAAAAATAGTGTTCGACATACTGAGCAAGAAATTTTTAAATGGTATGAAAGAGAACGAATTTTTGATCGACCAGACATCGAACCTTTAATAATCAACTTTGAGAGTGATGAAGATTCAGATTCAGACAGCGCTGAAGAAAGAAACTCCGACTAACTTTATTGTACAGAAAAAGCTTACACCAGTAGCTTACCTAATTTTAGAATGCATTTTTCTGTATGAATTCTGTAAAATAAATACCATGCATAAAATTTGGAGGACCCCATTTGGATTTTTATTCAGTACCTTTAAGCTATCAATTAAATATGGTAGTTTCATAGTGTCATCTGATCAATAATTGTCATACTTAATGATTATGCAAGTACAGATCTATAATTTTATTATACTATTATTTTTGTTCTCATTTGAGGTTAATATTGCTTATAAACCTAGATATGTAAATAATAAATTTTATTATTTTACAAAAAGTTTGGCAACAATGTAAATTTTTCAACACACCCACCTTGATGACGTGCACGCCACTTTGTTTGGCGTTGACTATAGATTGACAGCAAGTCTAAATGTGGCAACAAATAAAAGTCGATTATTTAGTGACAAGGTCGAATCGTATTTCCTCGCGGAAGTTTGGTACATATTTGGTAAAACTCGTTCTGGTTTGCTAGTGGATGTCAACAGAATCACCATTGCTAACAGTGCAAAATCAACGCAGGGCACCCAAACCATTGATTTGCGTATCCTGTCTAAACATAGCCAATCGTATATGCCCAAAAACGGATCTGCGCCATCTATGAGAGTAGAAGAACAGAAAATTAAGTTAGAAACTAGTCTGGAAAGAGTTAGATTGTTTGGTTCTACTACTGCTAGTTCATTTTATGTTCTACTACACGTACCCAACGCCCAAACCTATCGTAAGCGTGTACTCGTATATGGGTGAATATACGGTATTTGTGATTTCAATGTTCCATTAAAAAAATCTTAAGGAAATTGCCCGATTGTGGAAATAAACCATCTAAATAGTGTAAAATATCAGGCTTTATTTGGAACATATTATGATGGAATTCATGTCCTAACCAATAAGATTTAAACACAATATGCTTGAAAGTTAACACAATGTATCTGGCACATTGACGCAACTATCTAAAAAAACAGCCATTCTTGAATATAAATAACGAATTACATACAATAATAAATATAATAACGTATTTAAATTATTTTCGAGGACATGTACATTTTTGTCATTACCCTGGTGGCAGGCACTTCTCTAGCAGTTTTGATGTAATTTTTTCTACTCTTCTTTTCATACTTCATTTTTTTGTCATTTCTTTGCAATAAAAAGTATCAAAAACAACGAGCGACAGCTCCGAACCGCTAAGAAGCAAATCCCTAGCTCCTAGACACAACCTGAGGATCAGTGAGCCCTCAATTTATACTCGTATGATTCTCTTGAGTCAAGAACGATAGAACTGAAAACTTATTATTTTTAATAAAGAACTTTTCATATTGTACATTTTCCCCTGGTACCTATAAAAGCTGCTAAAATCAAAATATTATTTAACCTTGACAAATATGTATCACATATCATCTGGCTTAATGAATTAAAAATAAAAAAGTTGTTTTTCTTAGTTTACACTGAAAACCAAGATGCGATATATTCACCCGTATCATAGAAAATATTTTACTTACTTAACGCGTTTGTATGATCTTTGTTTAGAAAATTTAACAAGGTCTTGGTTTTATGCAACTCACAACAAAGCACATTCAGATGTCATGAACTAACAGAGACTGATTTATACAATGAGTCAAGATAACGTTTTCGTACACAATTCAAAATCCAAACACAGAGTTGAATTTTAATCTTTTCACGTAAGTTTGGTAACAAACTAGGTACCTATGGATACGGTTAATCGCAGAAAATGATAACGTTGCGAAAATTCTGATGGGTTTTTAGAAACCATTCAAGCATTGCAGATTAGATATTAGTGTGTAGACTGAACGCATATTAGTTTGAAATTACACTTGATTCGTTACGATTTCTGCAGAGCAAAAATTTAACTACATAAAAATACATATAATACGAGGGTGGTCCGAATTGTTTCCGACCTCAACGTGAAGATGGCAGCACTCGTAAATAAAAGCTAGTGAATTTCGTTGCTCATCTGTTGAGAGTTACTCACCAAAGTTTCAGCCATTTTGGACGCGCAGTTGTTATGTAACAGTCGATTGTGTGAGTTGATGTGTTTTTGTGAATATGGACAAAATCGAGTATAGAGCTGTCATTAAATATTTGTTTTTGAAAGGCAATACGCCTTCGCAAATCAAGGATGAGTTGGATTCTGTGTATGGGGACTTTCGCCCGATCATTTACCACAGTGAAATTTTGGGTAACTGAATTTAAACGTGGCCGTAAGAGCTTGGGAGACGATGAACGTTCGGGATGTCCAAAAACTACAACTACCGACGAAAACACCGCCTAAGTTCACCAAATGGTGCTAGACGACCGCCAAATTAAAGTGAGAGAGATAGAGTAGAGTAGAAGTTATGAACATGTCAAAAGAACGTGTTTGTCACACATTAAATCAACATTTAGACATCCGAAAGCTGCCTGCGCGTTGGGTGCCGCGTTTGCTCACGTTAGACCAAAAACGTTTTGAATGAACATTTCTAATGGTCTGTTGTGGCAGTTTAGGCACAATAAATCCGAGTTTTGGCGCCGATTAATTACTGTAGATGAAACTTGGATACACCATTATATGCTCGAAACAAAAATACAGTTCAAACAGTGGACTGCAAAGGGGGTACCTGCTACAAAAAAAACTAAAAACTGTTTTTTTTGGCTGGGAAAGTGATGGCGACTGTTTTTTGGGATAGTCATGGAGTAATTTTAATCGATTATCTTCAAAAAGGAAAAACCATTACAGAAGCACACTACGCAACAATACTTGACAAGCTGAAGCCGGAAAAACGGCCACATTTACAGAAAAGAAAATCCTGTTTCACCAAGACAACACACCGGCTCACACCTCAGCGGTTGCTAGGGCGAAAATCCACGAATTACGGTTTGAACTGCTTGACCATCTACCTTATTCACCAGATCTAGCCCCAAGCGACTCCTTTTTGTTCCCTCATCTAAAATTGGGCTCGGAGGTCAGATCTTTGTCAAATGAAGAGGCAATCAATTTCGTGAACAATTATTTGCAGAGAAAAACGCCGACAACTATTTGGACGGGTTACAGAGATGGAAGCATCCACGGGAGAAGTGTGTGGAGTTGCAAGGAGAATATGATGGAAAATAAAAAAAAAGTTTCTGAAAAAAATGTCTTGTATCTATGTTAGGTCGGAAACTTTTCAGAACACCCTCGTATAGGTATACCATATTTCCTTTCCAATTCCATCATGTTCCAAATGACTAATGATGGAAAGCATGGAATAATAAAAACAAGTCTTAGTTATAATATGAATTTGTAACTACGTTATCTTAGTAACTGGTGCGCTGAACAATTTTCATTGTAGCCAAATAAGATTGCTAAAAACACTTGGATGGATTAAAAACTTTCGAATCGCCATACCTTTTTTTGCTTTTAGTATAATAATTCCTTTTCGGCTAGTAAATGTCAATACGCAAATCCAACGTGCGGGTCACATACCATTTATTGATCAACATTCAAGTGGTGAGTACTCTGAGGAGAATCTTGCATTACATTTTTAAATTCTACCGCGGTAAAAATTTCCTGATTTACAATAAATCGATATATTATATACTTTGATCTGAAAGAGGCAAAAATATGTATTTTCCTAAAACATCGAAAACGTTATGAATTTGAAATTTCATGAAAACGTTACCCCACAATATAGGTATACCTACTTCGGTATTTATGGGATTTTACTCCAACCCAATAAGAAGTGCTTGACGAGTTATATTATTCAGATTACTGCACAAAAAGAGGAAAGAACATGTTGTTTACAAGAATTTGCAGGGTGATTGTGAAAACAGTGGCAAGATTTTATATAATCATGTTGAAGTTTTAATTTCGAAATAGAAAAAATATCTTTGGTGTGGATTAAGATAACTTAGAATTTTGTACGTGTACCTACTTAAATGTGTGTGGAAACTGGAAAATTTTGCGTAAACATTGGCTAAATTTATTTGAAATATAAAATCCGTAAAAAAACTTCCGTTCTACTCTTCTAAAAATACTGACATTGTTTCGCGTTGCATGAAAAAAGATGTACATCCCCAAATAACTATACCTGTAGAAGAGATCTCATTAAATACTATTGAAATGCTACTAAAATACGATACATAAAATAGATTCAAACCTTTTGTACCACATTTTTTCCCTTAAAATCATCTAAACGGGTATGCCTGTGATTCAAATTTGCAGTTACAGTGTCGCAAGAGTGTTACCAAATTACCATACACTGTACAAGGCAAGTTCATATTTCTTGCCTCATATTTTTTCCTTAGCTTCGACTAAAACGGGATGCCAGTAGTTCAAATTTTGCTATAGTACAAGAAGGTAGTGTTAAACTACTACTGTATAAAGCATATTCATACTCTTTATATTTTCTATTAGCATCGGCCAAGGAAGCCTGTTTGTAGCCCAAATTCCATTTACTTTACTGTCAAAGTACTATAAACCGCTGCAGAAAGCAAATTTATTTATATTCTTCCATTACCTTTTTTCCTTAGCACCGACCATGACTCAGCTCCAAATTAGGTATTTCTAAACAAATCACTCTACTCGGTGGCAGAGTACTTTCACTATAAAATTATTCTAAAACCGCAACAAATGGTACCGCAGACAGAAATCTCGACACGGCAACACGCAACTGTACCAACAATCAGATCTTATCGCGAATCTGGTTCTCTCACAAAATCACCGCCGTTGAAAAATGAAGAATTCCTTCTTGTCGAAAAACCACCCGGAAAAGAGGTACCATCAACTGGTTCGCACTCGCCGGCAGTACTAGACCTATAGCACGAACCACGAAACCTGTCAGCCGAGTACCCATACCAACACGCTCGCATACGAACAGACGAGTGTGAGGGACGCATTGGCGTAGCGACGACATTTCCCATAGAGGGATATTCACTTGTTAATCTACAGGGTGATACAGAAGCAGTGATAATATTTCCAGATAAAAAAGTATCATGGAAAGCTCCTATAAAATGTCCCCTTGTCTAGATAAGGGTGAAGATTTTTGTTACGATTTTCTTAGTATATCAATGTCAAACAGATACAGCATATTCTCAATTTTGGATCAAAATACCGAGAGTTGCACCTAAAGGTCTACTCGACCAATTTAAACGCCCAAGAAAGAAATTCATCTTATATAGGGCGTGCCTTAATGACAAAACTGGATTCTAGGATCTGATTCCTGAGATAATTTTATCAAAAAAAAAACAAAAAAAAAACGTTATGAAGGTATGTCCGTAATGACTTGTATTTTTAACTACGGGGTGTTGAATTTTCAAGGAATTAATCGTTTTTGTTTTTCCTTCGACAGTACCTTAAAAATTATTTTCGATTTTAGTATATTATAATAGGATGTAAAATGACATTATGTTCCGTCCTCGTCGAAGTAAATATTTAGCATACATATCGTAGTACCCTCGAAGTAGTACCCAACCGCCACGAGAACAGGAAATGGCGGGTGGGTACTAATACGAGGGTACTACGATATGTATTCTAAATATTTACTTCGACGATGACTTCACATAATTAAGATCGAATATCACTTACAGGTAAGTTCGTTTGATCATGTAATTTTAGTATAAAAAGTTAATATATTGCGCCACCAGTGGCATCAACTTGATTGTAAAAAATATCGCAAGACATGTTTGCAGGTACGTGCAATACAGTAACTTTTCACAGTAACATACCAAAAACAATAATATCTAAAGTACTTTCGAATATATCTAATGAAAATAATTTTGCTCTTAAAAACTGTACATCCGTAGCTAAAAAGTTATGTTATCGCAGGCGCATGTTCATGTAAGCTTTTCCTCATAAAATTATTTTAGGAATGATATCCTGAAGTATTAGCACATCACTACTCTGAGTTTTGTTTCGGAAGGTCAAGCTAATATAACAGTGAATATTTTCAAAAACTTATTTTCAACTGAAAGACGTGCCAAGCGAATTGCTGAATCACAATATGGTCATTTTTGACTTCCTTGGACAATTTTTTTTCGGAATATTCAAATGTAAACAGGGCCTAATCTTTTCAGAGACAGCAATAGCGAGAAAAAGAAAAAATTGCTAAGCCGCTGAAACTCACATTTTTTTCCGAACCTGCAAACTTTTCACCTCCAGAACGAACCGAACTATGGAATATTACACAGCTTCATACGTCCATGAGCAAAGAAATTAGTCCGATAAGAGATATATCCCGCCAAGTCGAGTTGTGAAATCTCAATTTTGACCCAGCTATTTTTTCAACGTTTTCGCGATGTTTCCCACTTAAAAACCCATCCTTCATCCTTGAGTGTGCCTGCTGTCAAACAGCTTACGATGTACTCGGTTAGGTTTCTTGTGAGTGCATCAAATGGGGAAGAGCAAAGAGAAACAGAAGTGTTTAGTTTAAGAGGAGACACCTAGGCCAGGGCTGTCCAACATACGGCCAGCGGTCCGCATGCGGCCCGCGAACTCCTTTCTTGCGGCCCGCTTCACGGGTCATGTATACATCACATGTATAAACAACTCTCAAATACCGAATATACACAATTCTTACATTAACTCTGTAATAATGTTGTATAGAAAGATTTTATAATGCGGCCCTCCAAACTGCATTTTTTTTTGAAGTGGCCCTTGGGCCTCATTAAGTTGGACAGCCCTGACCTAGGCGTTTTGACTTGGTACACGGATTAATTTTGACGTGAACTAAACAAATTTTGATTCGGTTTTGTTAGAGTGTAATTTTAAGTTTGCTCCACTGTGTAGTCCCCTGAGTCGCGCAACAGAGGGTTGCTGTGCGATTCCGCTTGACTATAACCTCGCTACACCTGAAGGTTGACATAATCCCTCAAGTAAGGAATGTCAAGGTCCCTGTCAAGTGTCTCGTCTGAGACTGGCCGTGTTGTTGGCAAAACATTGTTAATTTTGATCCGAAACTTCCTTCCTTCAAGAAAGGATTTCAGTAATTTTAGAAGCCAAAAAGGAAAACCCTTTTGGATTAGTTTATAAAGGAGGCTCGCGTGCCACACCTTGTCAAAGGCTTTTGAGACATCCAAAGCAAGATGCCAGTACTCATGCTGAGGGTGAACCCTCTGGTTACATGTTTCACCAGCCTGACAGCCTGTAGCTCGGTGCTTTGCTCAGACCGAAAACCGAATTGAACGTCAGGAATCACATGGTGATTTGACGAAAAATTCTCAAGGTGACGATAAATCACCTTTTCGGCGAGCTTAGAAGGAGCTGACACCAGACTTATGGGATGGTAATCCTGGGGAAATATCGAACCCACCTTCTTTGGAATCATGATGACCTCAGCAGTCTTCCACCTAGCAGGGAAGTACTGGATTCTGAGCGTCGCACTGATTATTGTCACCAAATATGTCAGGGCTTTCGGCGAGAGCAGCTTCAACGCCTTGTTGGTATAAAAATATCTTATTTATTTGTTTATTTGACACCAGTGCCCATAAGTAGGTATTGGAGAAATATTTTCTAAAGTACAATGAGGATTTGTAAGGTGATGGAGAAGTGCATCAATCGGGGGTTTCTAGAGCGCCTCAAGCGTCACAGTCTGAATAGCAACAGGCAGTATGGCTTCCGGCACCAGAGAGCAACGGGGGACTTCCGAGTTTACGTCACACAACTGTAAGTTTATTCAATCGTATGGTGACGCCCAAGTCGTTGTTCCTGATATCACAAAAGCTTTCTGTCAGCTGTGGCATGCCGCCCTCTTAAGCAAACTTCCATCGTATGGCCTCAGTAAAGGTTTGAAGATGGGTAGCTAACTTCTCTCTCCGGCTGCAAGATTCCGTCATAACTGACAGATTCTCCCCTTCATCCTTCAATGCCAACGCGGTCTTTGCTCCAACATAATAAAAATCTGAAGTTTGAACTACCCCTCGTCGCGAGACATGTTGCGCAATGTAGCCAGACCTAGACCTACGTAAATAACGGCAACAATGCAACTATGTCCGACCGCCGGCCTGGTCGTACCGTCGAGTCGGCCGTACCAGGCCGCTTGTTGGCACGGCTTGCTGCGATCCAGCCGTGCGGTGGCAGGCACCACGTGCTACGTCCGGAACAAAAGAGCATCGGCATAGCACGTTTACACACACCGAACAGGAGGGAACCGCCGTCTAATTGGACAATTTTTCAATTCCAGCCGACACGGCTCAACGAGATAATACTTATAGCACCATTAGATCATCGATGCATGTATGTATAAGTAGAACACATATGCAAAAAGTCGGCCCACCTATGATTGGTTTAGAACACGAAAGTTCAAAAAATAAGTTTAGTAAACAAAAACTTTCAACACTGTGGGAAGGTAGACTCGATAAACATTATGCCCGCATACCTTTCATTCAATAAAAGTGACGTTATTGACAGGATCGACTTGAATCTTCAGGTACCCTCACTATACATTTTCGATAAAGTAAACTCTGACTTCGAAGTGTCTATAAAGTTGATGAAATCATTGTTTACGCGGTTGTGCTTGCTGGTTTTTTATCATTTAACTTCAGTTTATGTGTGATTACTCTCTGAAAATAAATACTACTCCATTTGAGGCCGCCCTAGTAGTCGCACTGATCCAGGCTGGCTTGAGTCACTCGATAACATCAGCCATTCCTAATAATCCCTGATAAAAAATGAATTAAATAATTTATAACCTGCTAAAAAATCTAAAAAATAGTACAAGTATATGATTATGTACACATATACAGACGCATGTACGGATGACACCTGTTATAAAAATAAAAAATGTACCACTAATTAAATAGTGCTATAACTTGATAACAAAAATATGTTGACCGCTTGAAAAAATAATAAATTCCATCCATGGGTAAACACGCAAAATAAAAATAGATACGGCAATCAACAATATTGTAACTTAAAATATAATAAACGTATCTCGTCGACACTAGAATAGCTCGACATCCCATCAACACCAGCTCACTAGCTCGACATCCCGTCGACTCTAGACCATTACATTTATGGACCCGCGCTAGCTCGACATCACGCCAACACTATAGTAAAATACCAAAATTGATGACAGTAGCGAAACTCATCGTACGACACTGCTATTGCGCGGAGGCCTTAGAAAATGCGGCGCCTCTTTGTGAAATGTTGGCAAACGTCGCTGTAATCAAAAGGTACCACGTCAAAGCAGTGGCGCACGATGACATCTGCTACTGTCCTCAATTCTGCTATTTGACTACAGCCACGCTAGCTCGACACCCCGTCGACAGTAGTCCTACTTGCTCGAAATCAAATCGACACTTATCTCTATGGATCCGCACTAAATCGTCAACCTGTCGACAGTAGCCCGCTAGCTCGACATGCCGTCGACACTAGTCCCACTAATTCGACATCCTGTCAACACTATATACGGCTGGTTCTGTTTACAATCCTGTATCTTACACTTAGCGCTCACATCATATTTCAGATCATTTCCATGTACTGAAAAATCGACCGATTTCAACACATGATATTTTTTATTTCTTTTTTAGGTTGTAACCTGCACCAACGCTCCAATAGTTCACTTTTTAGCAAAGCCTCATGTTCCGTACTAGTTCATGGCACATTGGTCTTATCATTGTTGCCACCTACCTTTATCTAGCTAGACTTAGTACCTTAAGGACAAGTTTATACAAAATACAACCTCATACTCATATCTGAAACAAAGCTAGATATCTCCCATGCATCTTGCTAAGCTCCCGCCATCTATGCCGCACTAGAATTTCCAAACTAGACTTCTAATTATTGCGGAGAGCAGAAACATAGTGGTGACATATTCTCATAGATGACGCTTACGCATCTCATTTCACCACAGATAATTTTTCGGAAGCGC